GGTCAGAGGTAATACAATCAAGTAGTAAAAATGACGGTGAATAACCTCGCTTGGTATGACAGCACAGCCAATAATGACAGGAAAGTGTTCTTTGTCACATGAATCTCAAGATTCTAAACATGTTCCAGGCAAGATCAGAACCTGGAAGAAGCTACATACGAAACTGGAAATGTTCCGTTAGCAAGTGGTACAGGTATGCTAGGAGTTTTTGGTCAGGTGACTTCTCAGAGTGGAGAAAAATTTGTAGTGGAAGGAAATATGACAAGTCCAATGTTTGCCAGGTTCCTGCATACAATGATATCAATATTAAACAAATGTCCAGCCTAAATTTCAATATACTTATGGACTAGAAAAATTCAACACATAGTAGATCTATTATTAAATTCAAATTCAGAATTGGTACTCCACTTTTGAGTATACTTACAGAGTGAGGTTTCATTTTTAATATTTTCAAATAAAATATTTAGTGTCTGTAGAAGTTGTACGCTGACATAACGGCCGCACGGTTGGCGAAGAATCTTCAGGAAAAAGGACAACATGTTCTTCTCCAGAAAGAAACTAAAAAACAAATGGAAAGACATGTATGGCTTTCTCCCAAACTGACACACACATTTGAGCATTTATCGTATTAGCGCTGCGCATTCATGTAGTCTTATTTATTTGCGTTGCCTTAAAGGGGAACTGCTCAATCCCAGGGATTGCACCAAAGAATCATGGGACACTATTGTTTATGTTGTTTACAATGTTAATCTATCTTTTGTTATCCATTGTTATTTTAATCCAGAAAGTAAACATGTTGTGAGATTAGGCTTAACTGGAAGGTGCCCCTTTAAGCTGGGTCACATATTATTGATGCAGGACACTGGGCCTTAGAATTTCTCTCTCCGTCATTGGCTGAACCACAGATTAATGCCTGGGTAATTGATTGTAGTGAATAGACAGACTCATACATGGTAATTGTATATAGTGATGGATCATTTTTATCACCCTAATCTTGTTGACCACATAAGGGTTAAAGAAATGAACTCACAGACATATGGGTGATCCTGGAAGTCAGGTGACCTCGTTTGTGTACTCACAGTGGTTCAAATGTGTTTTCTTAAAACATTATAACAATAACCTATAACGAATTCTGATTTCAATAGGAGATTGCAGTACAGCAAAAATGGACATGTGACACATACGGCTCAGAAAGATACGGCCGCTATACACAGAGTCACTCATCTACATCTACAATGACATCACAATGGTATTTTAAAATTACGTCCTGAATTTCAAAGGGACTATTTGTGCATATAGTGCGTTGGAGCAGGGTTTTTTCTAGAAAAATACTGCAAGAGGGTGCACTGCAACCATACATGTTATCAATACCAAGTGTGAATGAATTAGCCTTAGCATGCCGGAGAAACAGTTGCTCAGGATTTTTTCTAGAAAAAAACTGCAAGAGGGAGCACTGCAATTCAGCTGCGCTGCTCCCCAGGTTAAGGGGCAAATGGCCATGGCATGAGGGCGCTGCGTCCCTGTTTCCTTGTTTAAAAAAATCCCTGTGGAGGTTATTGGAGTCATAGACGATTTTTGTTTGATCAATGGTTGATAAACTGGTTAGACTGAACTCAATGCTGCAGGATGATTTATGACGAGATTGAATTATAATGAATGACATTGATGAGTGGAAGAATTTCAGTTGCGAAGGGACCTCAGTCATTGAAGGTAAATTTAGGAAAATATCACAAAATGGACATTTGCTTCACAAAGTGCATCATCACACTGTCACTCATCGGCATTTTCATAAATTAGCAATGTAAAATGTGAAACAAAATGAAAATATTCCTTGAACTCTGACTTATCAATTTCTGAAAAATGAACTGTCACTGGCTGTGGTATATATTACTACTTGAACCATTTGTTTATGTGGTGGTTAGTCCATCAGACATACCAGCATAATGTGGTAGTATTTAGAATGTGTACAGCTAGCATTGAACACAACAGCATTAAACTGGAGATAATTCTTGCTGATGTCACTGATTTTGGGTGACATCACATAAACATTCGGAGTTGGTACTCTGAGTGTCAGTGTACAACAGCAGTTGGTCTTCTGTCTGAATTGGTTGATCATATTTTGTAATTACCGACTGAGATGCCATTTTGTCTTATAACACATTCCCAAGGCTCAGGCGACCATTTTACTGGCAGAGACAGTCATAATATTCACAGTTCGCACGATAAACATTCAGAATATTTTATCATAAACACACACAAAATAATCACATTTCACACCAATTTTATCACTGTAATTTGGGAAACTGATTCTCACATACAAGTGGAAAGTAGTTCAAACCATGTTACTATAGTTCTGACGCCAGAATATGACATACCGGTAATACTGTACTAATAATACTGTACTAATACTAATAACATAGTGTATCCATATGATAATTACCGATGTCACATCTGTCATTCTCACTATAGATGACATAATTTACAATAGGAACTGGAATGCCCATTAATTTTGTGGATGCCTGTTTGCTTTTAAAGTCTTGTCTAGTAATATATGTACATTGTATCTGCCCAACGGACGCCATATTTGCAATGTGATCAAACTCAGACAACACATCCAATGATGTTAACCCCTTGAGTGCCAGATATTTTTCCCGTCAAAATTCAGTGCAAATATTTTAACATTTTGTAAAATTTTCGGTAAATTTTATCACCATTTTCGGCCAAAAAGACAGTTTTATATAATGCTTTTTAGTTTTTGATCAAAAGGTTTGTCATTTTGTTGGAGAGGAGCGGAATATACAAAAACATTTTGTAGATGGTGCCTAAAATTAACAATGACAATCATAGTGTTGAATTAATGATGAAAATTGTTACTTACTCAAAGACAGAACTGTCATTTTGATCGCCCCAGATAAGTATTTCCGATATAGATCGGAATGTTTCAACCAGTAAACTTTTATTTTGTTCTGTAACAACTTGGTGCTTCATTAGAACATGATGTAAAAATCTGGAGGAAAAAAAAAGTCATTGTCATGTTAGTATTTGCAATTGACTTTTGAAGACACAAAATTATATCTCGTCAAGACATGTTAGAGAAATAAATAAAGATGCATGAATAAAACCAACAATTTTTTTTACATGGCTGTTGGTTGGCCATTTTGAAACAAATTACAAAACAAACGAATGTGTGATGTTCATACCAAGTTTAAATACAGGCATGGCCTGACATATTATTGATGAAATGTTAACATTTTGAGATTTGGAGTTATCTGAGTGGAAATGGCTGCCAGTCATTTGGGTTTTACTGAAACTTTCAAAATAATTAAAGAGAACATGCAAACCATGTTTTGCTCTTCTCTTTAGGCTTAAACAGAAATGCATCTCAGAAATAGGTGAAACACAAAATAGTTACCAGTTGATCATTTTGAAAAAAATCACAAAATGATGTGCACCAGTAACCCCCCATACATGTTATCAATACAAAGTGTGAATGAATTAGCCTTAGCATGCCGGAGAAACAGTTGCTCAGGGTTTTTTCTAGAAAAAAACTGCAAGAGGGAGCACTGCAATTCAGCTGCGCTACCAAGTGGGGGAGATAGGGTTCTCCCTACCAGGGTAGGGAGTTTTTGATAATTCTAAGTTAAAATGTAGCATTCTATGGCCTCCTTGGGCCAAAATTACTATCAGACAGTTCACAGTTGAAGACTGTGGCCACATGTGATTCCTGGTCAATCAGAATTTTATGGTTGCCAGAGGATCTGCTCCTCAGGGTACGGGGGCGCATGTCCATGGCATGAGGGCGCTGTTCCCTTGTTTTAAAAAATCCCTGGTTGCTGATTCAAATATTGTTTTTTTGTGTTTAAGAAACAAAAATTGTCTGCCAGTCGAGGTACAATGTAAGTGTTGTATTATTTCTTGTCAACATAGCAATTTTGTTTCAGCAAAAATGATCCGGGTATGTCATAAAATGAGAAATGTACAGAAGGACAGACTTACAAACAACCATTATAATGTACCGGTAATATTTTTTTTTGATAATAAATTAATTCTAATTAGTCATACTAAATGGAAAACAACAATTTTAGTACCATGAAATTTGTATCTGTAGATGCTGTAATAATTCTTTTTTGAACAATCAATGTGTAGATGATATAATACAAGCCACCATCATTCTGTTGTAATTTTCCCTTTTAATAGAAGTCACAGCTTTTCATACAGATTTTAAAGTATTAAGACAATTTTATTAGATTTATGTCACATAAACAAAGGAATGAAGTAAATAAATACGAGAAATTTTAAACATTGAAACAAGTACAACTGTATGCTTGAAACAAATCCAATTTGGCATTCTATCCCATATATCATGGCAGTTCAGTGTGATAAAACAGAGTTGTTATAATTTTCTATATCTCCATAGTACTGTAAAACATGTCTTTATCTTAGCATGTTATTTTATCTATTTAATTCAGCTAGTCTGTAATTTTGCTAGTGAAAGATGTTGCTTATTTAAAATAAAATATATATCCACAATGAAACTGTTGGCACTTTAGCTAAATAAAGATTCTGGTAATTCTTGCATTGAATTTTATTTGTTAAAATAGCTTATTTCAAAATGTTTTACTGTATGTACCGGTAATAAAAATCCAGAAAAATGTATTAATAGTCCATGCAAGCTATTGAACTTTTGACATCATGACAAAATAAGTTAAAACGCAGTGGTCTTCGCGCAGCTCGTGTTTGAATTTCATGTAAGGCCACACCGACTTAATTTTATGGATGACATCCACGCGCGCATTAGTTTTCGCCTGTTCTCAAAAAAAAAAAAAAAAAAATCTCCGACGAGTCTCCACAGATCGGTTTTCGGTCTGGAACTTGCCAACTCATATTGTTGCAAAACGCCGGCTTGTCGTAAAACTCGTTTTGGACTACCTCAAAACGTGTCAGTTATGTCGTAAATGATCTTCTGTACATGCGTATAGTGTTGCTGGGAATTCCAACATGGCGACTAAGCCACCAAAATACGTGAGCATAAAAGTTCAGAGGGAAAACGGAGGGATTGTTGTAGACTGGTACGCAATTGACGTCGGCCAGGGAGATGTTTACACAGCTATAAGGACATATTGTCCAGAGGTGGCTGTCCCGCGATGCAACGATGACAGAAATTGGATAGGAGTGGAGGTGTATGGTGGCCGAGGGATGTGATAGCTGAGAAGGAAGAAAAGACCTTAGTCCTATTGTTGAAGAGATCGATGTACAGGAGTGCAAGAGATCATTTTTTTTTTATGCTTGAGGTTGAGATCCCTAGACACGAGACACTAGACATACTTGCAGGGTTAACATGTAGGCTTCATTTCACCTGACAACACAGTTAAAGCTAACCCCAGGTGTGTAGAGAGGAGCAAGCAAGGACATTTCTGTATCATTGCAATGTTTTGTTAATAGTTATTGTCATAAAGTAGTGATATGTACATTCTGTCTTGACTTGTACTGAAAATGGTGTTCATGCTGTACCTTGAATGCAGTGTTTCTGACTGAAGGTACTTCATCATGACTACATGTACTAGAGCTTGTCTGAAATGGTTATACCTGTTACAGTAATACAGTACGAGATGTGTACATCAATATGTGTCTCCTGCAAATAAAGACTTGTTTTTTTTTGTTTTTTTATACACTGTGTTCTGTGGTTCAATTCGTAATACCAGCTCCGTAGTCCTGTGGTTTTAGCAGCATTTTTTTTTTTTGGCAAGATTTTTTTTTTTCCACCCTCTCGCATTAGTTTTGGGGTCTCCAGAGGATGTCATCCATAAAATTAAATCAGTGCGGCCTAAATAATGTATTTTACACGCGTTGTATACGTTGCTATGAGTCCCATATCGAACAGGACGCGGTGCGACGACTGCCGCCCTTTAATATCTTAAGATATTAAATTTGTTTCATCTATATTTAGTTGATTAGTCACAGATATTGAAAGGCGACAATTTGGATTGATTAAAAAATTAGTAATTATGTTACCAATGCATCATCCAACCGTAAATATGTCTCTTAAACAACAATATTTCTTAATGGTGATGATAATTAAGTAAAAATAATCGGCATTTGTGCACAGTGATCTGTTATGCGAATGAACTAGAATGTCTTGACTACATGCTTACAAACTATGACCTCTGTGGTAGTTTTTAACCTTTAAAATTAATACATGATATCATAAATACATGATAAACAGGATATCAAATTTATGATCCAACAACAACAGATTTATTAAACAAGTATAGCAAGCCTTTGGCAAGCAACAAAAAAAAAAATGAAAATTACTACACTTGTTTAATGAATCTGATATTGTAAGGTCACTCATGAGGTAGTCTTTATTTACACATAGTCCCTCTATTGATAGAGGGACTGTGATTTAAAGAAAGATAAAATCTATTATTTTCAGTGGTAGATATACATGTATACTGTAAAATACTTTATTTTAGCTGGAATAAATTTTCGCTGAAAAGACTTTATGGGTGTTTTGTAGGATTTTATTTTCACTAAATCATTTCTTCAGCAAAAATAACGGAAATTAATTCCAAGCAAAAATAAAGTATTTTACAGTAATATCGATAGGTTTGTACAAATTAGAACCTTATCGTATCCATAACAATACCATAACATAGTGACAACAAGCACACCAGCATCATGGGTTGAGCAGTAAGCAGACTGTGACATTACTAATGTCATTAGTGTATCTCCCTACATATGAGGATTCGCATTGCGAAAATGTTTATTTTATTGGGGAAAACTGTCATTGAATTGTCAACTTCAGTGATTTTCATTGTCCCCATGTATCCAGGGGTGGGTGGGTCAAGATTTATATTGAATAGCGGATTATAAGTGTGAGATGGGTCTTCCATGATTTCAATTTGTTGTACACATAGTTCCACAGCTCTCCAGGTGATTTTTCCAAGATTAAAAACAACCATAATGACCACAAGGCCTTGGGCTGCCTTCTGTTGTCACAAAAGGAAATTAATGTACGGGTCCCAGTTCTGTCTAACTAAAATACACATCAATATATTTTAAGTCATTTTATTACAGAAGATTGTATTAAAACAACAATAACAGTGACCAAATGAACAGAAAAACCTTTTTTTACTGAAAATGATTGCTGTGAAAATGACAACACGGCGAAACACTACGTCGTCACTGATCATAAAATTACTCACTTCAAGTGCTCCAGAGAATGAAGATTTTTCGGCTTCCATACAGCCTGCTGAATCCAGTTCTTCCCTTTAGAGAACATATCACGTGAGAAACAATTATCACTCCTTAAATAATCCCAGAGTGTTTCACTTCGGCAGCTAAACTGTGTTTTTACAGACAGAAATGACACTTTCACCGATCGGCGGCGGCCATTTTTTTCATAATGGCCTACGCCCGCTACGACGAAAATTAACACCGCACGGGGGCGTTTACCACTTTGGGTAAAATATTGTCAGGCCTTTTTTTACATTATTTTTGCATATACCGGTACGTCCTAACCTTGCTAGTTTAGGTCCGGCATTCATGTGAATGTTTTACTTATAATCGTACGCATTAGAACAGGTATGGTAATATCCACGTGCTACTATTAAAATCTGTGACACTCCGGGGTGCTACCAGTTACTATTGACACTGAAGCCACGCCACTGTACCGAACTCACCGTGGTACATGTATACTAGTTAAAACAGCTGGAAACTCGTGGGCGGATTGACAACAGCCGGATGAGATCATCTGTGTATCATAAATCCGGATTCATTATTTGTTTTGATTTCTACAGATAGCACAGTAACAGGCATCACGAATGACATTACTAGTAATTACCGACCATCATCCGCTCCACGTCACGGTGGTTTCGTATCCATTCCGATACCTCGGCACCTTGAGAATTCCTGTACCGTTATCAAGTATTCATTTCATGGTGGGAAAATAAAACCAGAACTGATAATTCTAAATGAAAACCAGAAAAGCAATATCAAACACACTTATAAATTAACAGGATTATAATCACTATTATACAAAGTATAAAGCTGGAGAGGGAATTGAATTGATTGCTCCTTATTTATTGTTGGTTTGGTGTAGACTTTGTTTTTATATTCTTTGTAAATGTATCGGTACATGTCTGCAGTTCTTTTTATATCATACGTACTGTACCCATACACAGATAAATTATTATCTTTTTTTTTCTTCTTCAGAGGTAACACCTTTTTCACAATGTTGCTAGGAAGTTTGAAAAGTCTTAATAAAGTTATCACTTTGAGGAACTGGATACCTAGCTTGTCATCAGTTTCCAGGACAACAGTAACCAGGCAACCATATGCAAATTATTATACTCACCAGAAAGTTAGTGATGATGAGAATAAAGTGGTGGTTGACCTGAGAACTGATACTCTGACTGAACCAGACTCTGAAATGAGAAACGCTATGGTTAATGCCAAAATAGGAGATGATGTATTAGATGAAGATCCTACAGTTAAGGGTATATTAATAATAAATTGTATTATTTTTTTCGTGAATGAAGCTCCATCTCGCTTTAATATTTGCTTCGCAGCGTGTGCTCCATTAGAAGTGCATCTCCAATATAAAATGCATGTACAGCAAAAATGAAATTTGGCGTCATTCCAGATGATTGTAAATTCATTTTAAGTTTGCAGTTTGTATTTAAGTTATATACATTTTTTGTTTAGTGAAAAAATAAGAATTGCATTTTTTTCATGTTGTTATTGATTGTTTTTATGGAACAATCTTTCTGTATTTTAATTTATTTATTTTTAGAACTAGAAAGAACAGCGGCAGCCATGTTAGGGAAAGAAGCAGGTTTATACGTCCTCTCAGGAACAATGGGAAACTTACTATCAGGTAATTAGAACCTGTTTTCATTATTATCTATGAAAACTATAAATCAGACAGACACATGTTTTCTAAAATATTTTAATAGCATAACCATTTAAATTTGCTTAATTTTATATACAAGTAAATTCCACTGCAATTAAACACAAGTATATTAAACAATGAAATTTAAAAACCATGATAAATATATACATAGAAAAACAAATTATTGGCGTAGATTACATTTTAAGTTTGAAGTGTCATTGAGTGTCAGTATATATTTTTGTCAAGGTCACAGTGACAGGCTTCATTTGTGACCTTTTACTGACCTTTATGTTCCAGTGTACAATCTTATACTTGAATTACTAATATTTATCACAAACCTTTAATTTTTTATAACTAGGAATTATCGTGATTTGATAATTTAAAGGTTCATGATTTCGAAAGTTGCTGCGACTCTTATTCTAAAGTACCCAGTGAAATGTGTGCAGTGACAAACATTGATGTGACTTGATTGCTGTCCTACAGACCTCTGTGAAAAGTCCACTGCTACAAATTTTTACAATTTTTGAAATAGACAGTGAGATCAAGCTGGAATTGGAATCTACATTTATAAATATTTACCAAAAATATTACTTATTTTGACCATAGAAACAACTTGTTTTATGTAAGCAAATCCGCTATTAAAAGAGCAAATATGATTTATGAAAATATGATTTGAAAATGGGAAAAAAATGAGTAGCTTGTTCTGGAAAATGAATACACAGCATGTTGAATTTTCAGGGTAGAATGTTCCAGCTTTAATACTGCCCTCACATGTCCATGAAGAGAGAGATGAATAGATACAATACCCTGTGAACGGACGATGAAATGCTGTGTTAGCACCGTAAATATAAAGCCAGAATATAATGCATGATGATGATGTGATATTGACATGTTTTGTAGAAGCGTTTTGTCACTAAAGGAGGTGATTTATAGTAAAAGTCGTATTCAGTTTTCATGAAGAAATATTTTAAGTCTGTCATCTTGTTGGATTAACAGAATTTAGGTCATAACCCTAACTTATTCATAACTATATTGCCAGTCTGGATTTCAACAAAAGTCCATTTTTTAAGAATTACCGGTATGTGTCCAAATGAGCTAGAAAATTAGAAACCAGAAATATTTCTTATAAATTTCTTGCTCATTTGCATACACAATTATTATGAAATCTTAATTGCTATCAATAACAATAATTTAATAAGGTTGATTTAATTGATTAAATTGAATTGAGTTGACAGATATGTCTTTACATATGACATTCATGGGATATCAATGTCTGCATCATTTTGGTAATATTTTCATTGTTTCTTCTTTCAGTTATGTGTCATTGTAATCACAGAGGAGAAGAAATGTTGCTAGGAGACCAGTCGCATATATTCATTCATGAACAAGGTGGAGCAGCATTTGTAAGTTGACCAACTTTGTTTAATTTTACGTATGTCAGCAGCTTTTATCATAAAAGATGGAACATATGTCATGCTAGCATACAGGATGATATACATGTCAGATGCTAGCATACAGGGTGACATATATGTCATATGTTAGCATACAGGATGACATATATGTCAGATGCTAGCATATATCGTAAGATGTCATATGTCAGATGCTAGCATACAAGATGACATGTGTCAGATGCTAGTATATAAGATGACATATGTCAGATGCTAGCATGCAAGATGACATGAATCAAATGCTAGCATACAAGATGATATGAATCAAATGCTAGCATACAAGATGACATATGTCAGATGCTAGCATACAAGATAACATATGTCAGATGCTAGCATACAAAGATAACATGAATCAAATGCTAGCATACAAGGTGACATATGTCAGATGCTATCATACAAGATAACATGTGTCAAATGCTAGCATACAAGATGACATGTCAGATGCTAGCATACAAGATAACGTGTCAAATGCTAGCATACAAGGTGACATATGTCAGATGCTAGTATATAAGATGACGTATGTCAGATGCTAGTATACAAGATAACATGTCAAATGCTAGCATACAAGATGACATATGTCAGATGCTACTATATAACATGACATATGTCAGATGCTATCATGCACGATGACATGAATCATATGCTAGCATACAAGATGACACGAATCAAATGCTA